TCGCTGTATGCTGGTAGAGGAAAAATCGAAACGACGTGACATTCTTCTGGTAATAGTAGTAGAAGTTTTGTTTATTAGATATTTTGCGCAAGCCGCAAACTTTCCTTGCAATTTTTAAGCAGCATCCTGTTTTCTATACCCCCCTCTTTGCTAATAGTTCTTAATTTTTCCTCCCAGTTTTTTGGTATAGGAAGTTCTCTTTTATGGGTCGCTTAGAGCTCGTATGTTCACTCTGGTAGCTCTTTTGTTTAATTTGCCGCTTCTGTAGAAATTTGGTATCGGCTATTAGTAGCATATGATCGCTGCCAATTTCAGCACCTCTTATAACTTCTATATCGGTAAAATAGTATTTTCTGAGAAATAGTCTATATTTCTGTTTCTATCCAGACTCGAGAAAGTTAATTTGTGGGGAAAGAAGGCATTTCCCACCAGCATATCATTGTCTAAGCAGAATTCAATAAGGCGTTGTCCATTTCCATTTCTTACACTTTCTCCTCCAGGGAGTCCGAGGGCACCGTAAGTGGAAGAAGGATCAAAACCTGTTCTAGCATTGAAATCTCCACTCAGTATTGCGAATCGCTCTCTATACTTGTTTTTTTTTATTAATCCTTACAAGTCAGAGTAGAATACTTCCTTATCCATGATTCCCGCATCCTCCGTCGGTGCGTATACCTACACTAAAGTAACTTTACCAATGACCAACACAAAATTTGCAGCAATTATTCTTTTTGAGATAGGCTTCCAGTCTTCCATTTGTTTATACATTGTTGGAGTCATAGTTATACCTAATCCTCCTTTGCGAAGATCTCTTGAGGAACTCCAGCATATAATCACTGTTTAGTTTTATTTCACCGATTCCTTTCTTCTTTACCTCGCTGATCCTAAGTATGTCCACCTTATATGTCTTCATCTCTTCCACAAGCTCAACCTATTTTCCTGTCAGTGTCTTAATATTGCAATTTTCAAATTGTAAATCACTATGTGCGCCAGTTCATTTCCATGAGATCTGTCCACATCATGGCTGGCTTATTGACTTTGAATAGGCTATACTACCATGCGGGTTATTAGCCCAGTAATGGAGGCCCTGTATCCTCGGGAGAGCTGATTTTCTGAATATTTGTGTCCTCTCAATGTGGCCGAGGTAGGGTGGTCAAATTATACTCCATAGCACTGGGTAACTGTTGGTCCATGGGTCTTTATTCTGTATATTCAAACCACTCCTCTTAACAGGGATCCTCCATCCGATGGACACGCTCCCTAGTGGACAGGTTCCATCTAGTCATTACAAGCTAATAGTCATAATTTATTTATTTTTTAACTATAAGAAACAATATAATGATTGTAAACATGTTACCTTTTATTTTATCTATAAAAAGATTTGCACTCCACAAAAAATTATGCCCTTCTCTGGCTTTGTTTACAAACATTTGCTATCTTAAAAGCACATCTGGAATATCCTCTAACGACCCTTTCACTTATCTACCTAAGTGCCAAGTATTTGAACACGTTCAGTGCAGATAAGAGTAAATATTACATTGATTATATGCATGTTTCATTTGTCTATTTCATGTATCATCCATCAGTATTTTTTCATTATTAACCATTGCCTGTTTCGCAATATTATATCTGATTGTAGTAATAGTTTTTAGCCTTGATGATGACCAACATGTTCTGGTTGATACATCAGAAATAAAAACCTTAAAAATGACTGTGTCCACACTATTTATCAGATTATTTATTATATTTAGAACAGTCAACTAACTTCCTTTAATAATATATTCCTTACGTGTTACCATGCACAATAGTATACCAAGAAATAAATGCACTTATAGCAGAGTTACTGTAATTTGGATAAAAATGGAACATTGATTGAAGTGTATTTGGTTTTACATGTATAAAATAATCATTACAAGCATAAAAAATATCTTGGAAAATAAAAAATAATTTGAAAAAAATCCCATGATTACTTTTGTAACAGCTGGTTCATAAATAAAGTTTTAAATGTATTTAGAGATCCAGACACTCTAAAACCATGCTTGTCACATTTACATAATAAAAAAAAAAAATCATATGGATTTGTCATATATCTATAATTTTTATTATTATTTTATTTTTTCTGGGCTAGATGTTTGTTGATGAGTATATTTCTACGAATAACATGATAGCAAGTCTTTTATCTGATATACCAACAAATATTAAATCTTGGCAAGGCTTAAGTGGAACATGATAAATTACAATGATACAAATAACAATTAATTCTATTTAGTGGATTGCTCATTTAGTAATGGATTTAAAAACATATATAATAGCATCTACTGAATTACCCATATTCATCTCATATAGAGAGAAAATGAATAAATAGACTGGAGTAATTTTTATTTTATAAGTGTTTATCAATTAGAAAATAATAGATAAATTATTACTTAGGGAGTCAACAAACAAGCATTCAACATTTAAATTATTTATTACTTCATACAATCGTAAACTGTTTAAACAGATTAGAGTACACTTATACACATTACACATAAATAAATATTTACATATTAATGCAATAAAATAAATATTTCTAAATATTTAAATTATAACAGAAAAATATATTTATCGATAAGTTAACATGTATATAAACATATATCACAAGGATTCTTAAAACATTTAATACAGTTTAATAATGATTGTTATTCACTTTTTAAGCGACTAGTTTCTAGGGGATTGACTAATTTTATATATTGAATACTTAATTACTTCAATTATGGATTGTTTAAATACTCACATATAATTTATTTTACGATCAAAGCTAAATACCACAGCAATACACATTGAATTTATAATATTTTTAGAGATTATTTGAAGTTATGATAACTAATTTATGTGATCTAATAGAAGAATACAACACACTAATCAGGAACATTATAAAAATAAGGTTTATTTTTATAGAGAATTACAGACAATTTAGTAAATCCTTCCCCTGTTCAAGGTGTACACGAAAGTCTAGTAGGGTGGCCTAACATTTTAAGGTCTACAAATCTACAACATGCACTATTAACTATAAGTAGTATAAGGTATATTGCATTACTTTTTAAAGTCTAGATAAACTTTTAAATTAAAAAAAAATATATAAAACAAAAATAACAAACTCACTCCAACTATAGGATGATTCACTCCTGGTACAAACACACCTGCCCGCAGGTAAAAACTATAACATGGAACTCATGACCTGCACGAGTTACTCATTTAATACAAAATATTTAAAAATTCATGGACCCAAGTACTTTTTGGAATAGGGGAGGTTAATGGTTTAACTATGGAACGAAAATTTAGTAATAACCTACACACTGCATCATAATAATTACACGAATATAATCATATATTATTATATATTTACATTTAAATGCAAGGTGAAAGATAATCACAGATTCTTTGTTAAATTTAATATAATCACTACAGGGTATATAAATATTTTACTGCACTCCAGAAACCTCACAGTTACTTTATTAAACAAAATACTCATGTCAAGCCGTATTCAATGTTGGAAGTCTATACATTTTGTACAATGACCCGATATTTACAAATTCGTAACCATTTTAAGAATGTATCCATTTATCAAACCAATCACACAAAGGAAGACACATGCATATACATACTCCATAAATATCTTTTCTTTGATAGATAGTAAACATTATTCTGACAAAATTGATAAAGTCTATTGGTTAGTTTGACCCTCATTTTTATAAAATTCTCTATTTTGGATAATAATATAGTATGAATAATGTTACTTTAATGTTTCACATTTTGGTTTAAGGATCAACCAAATTGTATCCAGGACTGTTGGGGCTGGGTGTCCGGGCTCAGAATGGCACCAGCCTCACGTGACAAGTAGTGGATACAATTTAGTTTCTGCTATTATATCTATTATCATGAGTAGATACTATCATTATTTTGAATCTGATGATAATTAATCAAGTTTGAAATTCTTCAGAATTTAGATTATTAAATGAACCATCGCCATCCTCAGCTGAATGATGTTTTCAATATAAAATTAACACCAAATCAGCATTTTAATATTCATACCACTTGTTTGATTTACACTACTCTCTGAATCATGAGCAGATTTTGATCTGCCAGCACTTCTATTACATAATTTTAAAAATCATATCATAGTGATAATTCAATTAACTCTTGTCAGATTATACTTAAACAAATTATATGAATTTGAAGCTACCAAATATATATATATATATATATATTATATATATATATATATATATATATATCTTTCTTACTTTTTTGTTTTATTTTTTATTTGTGGCTTTCATCTATCTCATAACACAACATATTATGTTTTATTTAAAAGGAATGATGGTTTATGGATATTTTACTAATATATAAAGAGTAAATCAAGTATATTCAAAATAACTCCATTTCTGATGAGATACAAGGCTTGATGGATAACAATAATGAAACACACAATACATCAAAAGAGGTTTAAGATAGATTGAAGTTGGACAAGGTATTGGAAGAAGTAAGATAAAGTCTTGAAGACATCTTATTTGGTTTATTTGATAGCCTCGGGTGAAATGTAAAATAAAATATAGGTATTTTAAATAATAAATCATTTTTTTTTAAATAGTAGACAATTGAGCTTTCAGTTCTAGAATGACTAACTTTAAGTTTAACATTTTTGAGTAAAATAATTTTAATGATATTTCTAGTAAGACAATTTATAATATCTGCAATGACAGTGATTAAGTTGATTCCAGACTAAGTGATTGCAGTGTTGAAATATTTAACTGTTAATAAAGGTATAAATTTCTCACTAGAAATATCAATAAAATTAATAATCAAAAATATAGAAACTGAAGTTAATCATTCTATCTATCACAAAGGCTCTATTAACACAGCGAAGTAGATTGAAATAGAAGTGGCGTTTTTTTGTTACGCAAAATGATAGAGAGAGGAGTGCATTATACAAACTGTGGAGGAGGATGACGATGGGTTAAAGCTCAGTGAAAGTGTCTAACGCCCAGGTGTCGATTGCGCCTGCGGACAGAGTTACGACGGCCACACAAGATCCTCTTGAAAGCATGGCGGAATTCCGGGCTAAATATCGTATAAATTATAGGATTGAGAGTAGAATTGAAGTATCCTAGCCAAAGGAAGAAAGCGAATAGGTGGTCGTTCAGGACGCACACATTGTACATGCTACAGATCGGCAGGAGAATTGCGATGATGAAGAAGGGTAGCCAGCACATGACAAAGGCTCCAGTTATGATGGCCAAAGTCTTGGCTGCCTTTCGCTCTCTCTTGGAGTCAGCGGCCTCCTTGTTCTTGCGCTGCTTGGGAAGAGGCTGTGGGGTGACGGGCTGGTAGCTGGAGGCCAGGTCGACTGTCGGGGAGTCCGCCTCCAGTCCGTTTCCGAAGGAGCCTTTCTCCGGCGAAGTGTTGGCCGAGCTCACGTTGGTGAAGGCCGTGGTGGTTGTTGTCGTGGTGGCCTCAGTGATGGTGGGGAGTGGCCTCCCGATCACTCCCACCACTGCCGCAGCGATCCCTCCGTTGCCTCCGGTCGCACCAGCTGCGCACAGTCCTGAAACAGACGTGCATAAGTTTCAGAAACTTAGATTATCTTTATTTAGAGGTTTTGTATTATAGACGTTGCACTATAACCGCAAGGTATAAAAATGAAATTAAATGAAAAAATATTTTATTATTCTGGGACTATTGTCCTTTTAGAACAAATTATAAGTTCAAATTGTATATCTATGAGGTTGAACTTAGATTATATATTTACAATAAGAGTCGACTAAAAATAAAAATACTGAAAAAGAGAAAGAAAAGAACAAGAAAATTGTACACACATATATAATAAAATAACCTAAATAAATTGAGGTAGTCTCTGGGGGTACTTCGATATTTCTCTTAAGTATATTTCACAATCAGTCGGATTGAGAAAGGAGTAGGTGCTTAAAGAGGAGAGGTTTAAAAGAGGAAACTGATTGAGCGCGTCGAATATCAGCAGGGATGGAATCTCAGAGGGAGGTGGCTTGAATTGCAAAGGATTTGTCAAACACAGCAGTTCGGTGAGGAGGAGGATAGAGATCGGATGTACGAGATCTAGTGGGACGGTATTGGATGGAGTATTTGAATTGTAAGCTGTGAAAAATATAGGAGGATCGATGAGTTCTAATGATCTGCTACAGAAAGGTGGCTAGGAAGTTCTGACGGCGATAGGATGGGTAGAGCCACCTCAACTCAGTGTAGTACTGGGTAATATGCGTATCTCTTGAGATTCTGTAAATAAATCGTAGTGCGCAATTCATTAGGCGTTTAAGTTTGGTCTCGAAATATCCCGATAGTCCACCGTATACCATACAGCCATAGTCGAAGTGGGGGAAAACAAGGAAGGAAACTAGGAGTTGACGGGACTTATATGGAAGGAGATATCGTAGACGATTGAAGTAAGTGTTTTAAGGTGGAGATAATGCGACGGGAAATTTGGGAGATGTGTGGTTTCCAGAATAGGGTTTGATCAAAAGTAATACCTAGGTTTTTAACTGTGGTATGGAATAAGATAGGTGAGTTGTTCAGGAGAAGATTGGGAGATACCGGGAAGGATTTGAGGAGTGAGGGGGATCCGATGAAGATGGCTTTTGTCTTCTCGGCGTTCAGAATGAGCCTGTTGAGGTTTGCCCAAGCACTTATTCTATTAATATCTTCTTGGATTTTTATGGTGGCATCTGAGGAATCGATCGGATTGAAGGAGAGGTAGATTTGAACGTCGTCGGCATAAAGGTGGTATTGACAGTGCAGCATAGAGGATAGGAGGTCATTTATATAGATAATGACATAAAATCAGTATGTTAGCCAGGATTTGAATTTATAGTTAATATTCATAGACTATTTCAAAATGGAGCGCATGCACTCCGTTCGAGCCTCCCTTATAGTGGGAGTGAATAACCCGTGTGATCAAATGCTCGCTTTCCAATCAAATGTTTTCAAAATTTTCATTTAAAGTTCGTTTCTCTACATTTTGAAAACTGACTATGTTCCTGTCATCATTTGATCATTATTAATACAGTTATAGGTTTTAATACAACAAATTTGATCGCTTTAACCTAAGTTATACCTGGTTTTTAATATTGACTTAAAAGCTGTAAGTTAAAAGTATGAAATACGATCAAGAAAGTTACAGCTGTGTCTTAGACCTCCAATAAAAAACCGAAAATATAATGCTCGTAAACTAAATATATGCAGTTTTTCTTCTAAAAATTTGTTGGTTTCTGTTCTTACAAGTTTTTAGAGTGTGACTGTTGATATGGTTAATATTTTAAAATATTAACAACTCATTTTCATAACATATGATCTCATGATATCAATTAATAATGAAGATATTTAAACTACATCACAATTATTGAAATGAAAACTTCATTAGGCGAGTTTAGCAACTTTTTTGTGGAGAGTGAATTAAACTAAACCGTCAGATCTCCGATGTGTAACGCTCGGGTAAAGTCGGCTTGAGAAGACTAATTGAAGAGTTTTTGCATATGGACTAAAATATATCAAAAACTAAATATTGGACCTGCATATTTTTAGTGAGAGAAATTTTCATCATTCCATCCTCTTTATAATCAGCTGTTATTCAAAATTTCATCTTAACGCGACGCCGTGGTAGAAAATACTTGCTCACCTACCCCGAAGCCTATACTTTTTCTTGAGTAACATTTCTTGGCCGACAGAGTCAAATGTCCTGGAGAGATGGAATGATACAAACACGGTAACTATACTTTCGTCCATAGTTCTACGCATTTCAGTCAGAACTGTATGGAGTGTAGTGTACTTCGTCCTTCTTTAAATTCCGACTGGAGTGGGGAGACTACTTCATTGTCTTCCAAAAATCTTCTCATGTCCCGCTTGACAATCCTTTCGAGTATTTTTGATACAATGTGCAATAGAGCGATTGATCGGTAATCAGACGGTATCACCGCATTTAAATTTTTAGGGACATGCCTGAGTAGCAATAATCTCTACACTTCGGAGAACATGTACTGATGTAAAGATGCGTTTATAATATCGAGAAGGACATTGTATTTTAAACTTCTCGATCATCTTTCTTGACTACTCATCCATTCCAGCTACAACCGACCTCACCCGGCGGATACTCCAGACAACATCATCCTTACTAATCTCATCTAAAATAAGGTCATCAACACAATCATTTGTCATTCAGTTTTATAGGTGGCTACATCATCGTACTACCCATTCCAGAAATGGCTAGGTATGTCCAAAGAATACAAAAGGCTGATGTTGATGGCTGAGAGTTAAAACGCCAATCGAGTCTAGTCGAATCCGGCCTGAGCGGTTTGATACTTAATGATACGGAATGAAACTCTGCCTTTTCCATTCTGGTTAGAATAGGTTCGGTGGTACCTTAAGAAAAATCTATCTCCCCCCCCCCCTGCGTTGCTAGAAATGGCTAGGATAGGGAAGAAAACTTGATATTCGTCATTGTTGCAGCAATAACCCCATAACTTTTATTTACAAATTACTATCTCATAATCCTCCTCAGTGTTTCAGCCAGGTCAAAATATAGAAATCTAGGGAACCAGAAAGTTCTTTGAAAACTTTTAGTGCTAAGCTACGGATTCGTTCAACATTATTTTTATACTAAATAAAAAAAAAAGAGAACAAAAATTAAAGAATAAGACTACCTTCGCTTACAGAAGAATACTTTTAGCAATTATGAAATCTAAACTAAACACGAGCAGACCCACGAAGAATGAGTAAAGCAATGAATGATATTGTATTCTCCAATTACACATTTTGCCAATATTGAAGTATTTTCATTTAAAAATCAACCTGTTTGGCACTTTCAATGCATTCGCGTCACAACGGTTGAATTGTTTTGTTCAAGTCAAATTCTCCATTTAATATAAAATACGACCTGAATTCTAAAATTGTATTCCGATCAACCCTTTACCAGGAACATCCAATATGTTGCTAAAGCGGATATGGGGAGGGCTGGAGTCACGTATAGGGAACAGTTTGCTTTCTGGGCAATCCTCCGCTTTGTTTGCCGACTTATTTAACGGCTCCGTTGAACAGCAAAGCAGTTCCAGCACTTTGTGATTCCCTCCCTCTCTCTCTTGTGGTGGTCACCTTTAATAGCTCAACCTTATCCGGCGCTCGGTTTAGTCAGCCCACGGCGGGTTCTTAATTAGAATTTTACTTTTAAATTCTATTGTGAATTTTAATTGAATATTCTTTTGTTTTTATTTTCAGTGGTCCTTTGAGAAAGACAATTTACTTAAATGAAAAACTAAAAGTCAAATCAAAGTTTAGGAGCTAATTATTATACTTATAACACATTTTTCAAAATGCTTTGTAACAGTGCACAATCCTATGAAATTTCGCTTATAATAGTGTCGGTTCGATTAAACACTCCATTCTTACTTTCGGACCGAATCTGGACAACATCCGAATCTGGACATATTTTGTGGGTTTTACCTCCAGACATACGTTCACTCTACAGTCGATCACTCCATAACGTTTAATCGCATACTGGAAGGAAGGTGAGGCATCACAGCTGAGAATGGCTATTCAACAAATATATTATACATTAAATTTCTGTCTATTGCTAAGTTTTTTTTTCGTTTATAGTAATATTTAAAGTTGATTTTTGTATTTCGCATTCCGAGAAAACCTCAAATACATATTTCCTCAGCAATCGAAAAATTAGTCATACATTTGAATTCATTTAATGCAATCAGCACTATGTTTTACATTGACTTCTTTTATAAAAGCATGTATTTATATATTATATTTATATTATATTTATATATTTATATATTATTAACTAAAAATCCATACAGAGAAAAGGGCAAAAATATATTTTATTATCGGCTTCTAAGCTGCATTAGAAAGAACCCACAGACTTAGTTCTAATATGTTTCGCCGTAGTATCAACATAAAAACTTCATTAAAATCAGTGAACTTGCATCCATAGCCACTCACATTGTGTGTCTCAATTTTTTCAACATATTGTTTTTGTTTTATAGTTTGTGGAGAAATATAAAATTATGATTATATATTACTAGGTACACCAAAAAAAACATAACATATAGAGTTTAAATACTATATTAACAAGAAATCCGATTAGATTGAGAATCTTATCTAAAATCTTTTCGAAAAAACAGTCAGAGTTTTTTGGTCAATCTTAGCCTCGCACATATTGATACAGATAAACAGAAAATGTTATCTAAAATATTATATATTTGTTTTAATCAGTCAAAGGCTCTACTAGTACCTCAAGAGTCTGTACTGGTGATAATATATTAACTGCCAGTCAAGCATTCAGATGCGGTGTAGCAGTCTACTCGGATGACATCGGCATGTATACTTCCAGCGCCAATGCTAATAAGTCCTCACATTGGCACAGAACACCTCAGCCACTATCGAGTTCGTACAAGAACTCGCGGCGATCGGTATAAGAGTGAACCCTGAGAAGATTGATGCCAACGCGATGTCATTCCAGAAGGATATACAGGCCTCTGCCTACCGACTTCACCATTAGAGGAGTCAACCAATGGAAGTCCACTTCTATCTCGGTGTCAAACTGGCTACCTCATAGTTCCAAGCAGGCTAGACAGAAGACTTAGAGCCTTTATCACCTACTGACATCGCCGCATCTCTTCTTTTGGCTCAAGCTGCAAATTTACAAGGGCATTGTGCGTCCTACATTGCTCCATGGCACCCTGTCCTTCGGCGAATCGTCCGTCACATCACCCTATAAACGGCAAAGAATGGAAAAGCCCGAGAGGTGATCCAACTTCCTTCAGTTCTTGGGTTCATAGACCGGAAGCACATCAAATTTATTGATGGGCAGAAGACCTGTGCTGACTCATTATTCCAGGATATCGTCCCGCCACCCAATCCTAGGAGGAGATCTGGACCCTGTAGTCCGTCCTCAATTGTAAATGTTATAAATAGCTGTATATATGTAAATATTTTATTTTATTTTTATTTAACGCCTCTGCCATTGGTTATTAAAAACTGCCGGCTCCTGGCAAATATCACTTGATCTCGTGCCACAATTTTCAAAACAATTCCCATCCCCTTTCCTTAGAATTCTATAGGACAATACAAAGACAAAGACAAATACAAAGACAATATTACAAAAGACAATATTATACAAAGACAACATTATACTAGCAAATTTATTAGTTAAAATAAAGTTATGGAGATCAAGAAAACAACTTTATTTTAAGCATGGAATAAAAATTAAACAAAAAATATAGTTTACAAAACAATAATTACTGAGTTTATTTCGTTTTAGATAGATAGATAGAAAATAAACTTTATTCTGAGACGAGGTTCCTTATGAAGAACAGTTATGAACAAAAAAATAGAAACTACATCTGACCAAAAATTGCATTAATCAACATTAAAAAATATATACAGTATATCCAGTAACATTAATATACAGTATATATGCGATGTGCCTTTCGATATATACTGTTACAATTAAAGGATATTGTATTTTCAAATATAAAATATTTTATCCCTTACATTGGGGATATTCAACATAATTATATAGAAAAATGTATATTTTTTTGAAGAGTAGATAACGGATGATATTCGGGGAAAATTAAATAAAAAATCCTGAAATATGCTGCAGACACTGACGCCTGGGGGGAGGGGGAGGAGAGGTATATTCAGTGATTTATAATGTGGTGGAGGAAGTTCATTTATTTCTGGTTTAGTGACAGCTACAAGGTGAAAGGAACTCCTTCCAGTAGACTGCTGTCTTTGACTCTCCGTCGGCCACAGTCCATTACACTAATATCGCATCACTGGCTATTATCTTGCGAGGGCTTTATCTCCTATAGCTTACCCTGCTACTTCTTCCAAGTAAGCATTTCTTCAAGCATTCATCTTACGGCATCGCTTCAGCTCAGGATACCCAATAACCGTTAGTTCCCATTGGAAATCATCAATTTTCATGTTTTATCAAAATCATTTATTTATAACTGATATATTACTAAATAGTAATCATAAGAACTGTAAAATATAATTATAGATATATATATATATATATATATATATATATATATATATATATATATATATATATATAAGTTAACATCACTCCAGAGAATTTAACCATTATTTGCTTCTTTTTAAATTGTATTCATTATATTTCAGCGACCTTTCATCATATTTCTATATTCCCTCTCCATCATGTTTAGTGTTCTGACCTATTGTCAAGTTAATTCGCAATTCTTACCAGCTCATTTTGACGAATTTTAGCAATATTTTATCTGTAATTTTTACCGTGCTATAACATTTTCCGAAACAATGGCTAAAGCCCCATATCACTTCCTCTTCGGTTTCCTTACTCGATCACACCTTTATCTACCACGACCAGATCACTCGAACGGGTGGTGGTGTGGGTTTTTACGTCAATAATAGCCTTAAATCCCGAATCCTAGTTATCTCACACCCTTCTAATTGCCCTCACATAGAATATCTTTTTGTTGAAATTTCATTCAAAGCCCATCATCTCCAATACGTTGTAGTATATCGCCCTCCTCTTGTTCCTTTCAACCCATCCATCCTTTGAATGTGCTCTGTATAAATTTATCCTATTTTACAGTAACAGTCATAGTTTTCGGTGACCTTAATGCCAATCTCCTTTCTGATTCCCACGACAAACAGTACCTGCAAAACCTTTTCTTCTCCCTCTTTTTTGCCCCATTTGCTCCTACTAATCACACTTGCCGGTCTGACACATGGCTGCTCTTGTTTGTTATGGATTTTGCGCAGAACCTTTTGTCTTCACCTTTTGTGTTCTTTTCCTCTCATCCAACTATCTTACAATATCCAGATCCCTGTGATCTTTCCTAAAAAAATAACTTTTTGCAATATAAAGTCCCTAACTCGTGAAAGCATTCTACCCGAAATTGAAACCCTGGATTGGAATGATGTTCACACCTGATCCTCAATTGTTACCATGGTAGATATTCTGACTTCTAATCTCCTGCCTATGATTCTCTTAAAACTTCTACGTTCCGGTGCCAACCTGCTCCTTGGATGCGTCAAGAAATTCGAAATATGCAAAATAGACAGCCGGTAGACGCTTAAGAAGAACCAGGCTTACAGATGACTACGAAGCGTTCAGAGTACTCCGTAACTTGACGCAAACAACAATCAGGCAGGCGAAAACCAACTACTTTCATGAAGCCTTCTGAAGCCGATTCTAAATCCAAATGGCATTTACTTCGAAAACTGTCTTTTTGCTGCTCATCTTCGTTCTCTTCCCAGTATCTCCTGATGCTTTAAATTCCTACTTTCTATCCTCCTCCACTAGTAACACTTCTCCCGTCTCTTCACATATTTTTGTGTCATCTTCATTCAATAGTAACAATTTTCAATAGTGACAATTATTTAGTATATCAAAATTAACGTATTTGTATCTTTGTCAATAAGTTTCTGATTTTTACGACTTTTTTTTTTATTTTGTAGATAATTTAGCAATCTTTCTAATTATTATGGTTACAATCCAGAAGAAATACATACTTTTTGAATTATTCGCAAATAAAGTTTCTTTTCCTTCATAACTTTTTTTGCAAAGAAATTTCAGGAGGATAGGACTATTTTTCGTATACGAACGAAAAGAATATCTTCAAAATGAGTGGTCAATCATTAGATTTGATAAAGACATTGCGTACCGACAAAGAAAACTTTTTAGAAATAATATATATGATAGAAAAACTGTACTGAGATAGTCGTCATGGCAACGATTTTACTTTTCATTATGATGTTCTTGCCTGGCGTTAACTAAAACATTCATAACTCCTCAGGAGTTTATCCTAATTCAATGTTTCTACAACCGTGGAAAAGCTGAAAGCCGGATAAACTTTTTGATTTAACACGTATGTAGAGAGTAAATAAATAAAAACTCCTAACAGATTTTTATTTTATAGCTTGAGTTCTAAATAATTTAGCGGAGTAGAGTTTATGTCATATCGTGTAGTTTATAAGGTCTTATATCCCTGAAAAAGTTCATATGAATAGGTGGAAGCATATTTAAGTTATCACACTTTTTGTGATTTTCGAAGATCAAAGGGAGGTTGGTTGAGTTGCCTTAGGTCAAATTTGTAGACATTTTTTATTATTTTTCGATCTCAATAAAAATTTGTATTCGAGGATCTGTCGAGCTGCGAAATACAAATCTCAACTCTGTTTCTCCTTAAAACAATATTTCAACACACTTTACTTCTTCTGTCGGTACAAATTGTTTAAATTTTCGAATCGACTTTTTTTTTTTGGTAATTTATTAATCATTCTAATTATCAAGGATATGTATAATCGAGAAAATAATGCTTATTTTTTGTGTCATTCGCGAATAAAGTCTCTTTTCCTTCATAACTTGTTTTTCCCAGAAATTTCAGGGAATAAGACTATTTTTCACTGCCACTTCATAATCAGTGGCTAATCATTTGATTTGATTGAGAATTGACGAAGTTATTGCGTAAAAATTCTTTTAGAAATAATATATAGGATTTTTTTTTTAAATTTATCTGGACATATAATATTCTGTCACAGGACAATAATTATATTGATAAATGAACACATTCACACCGTATATACAAAAAAGAAATAAAATTAACAAAAGTAAAATAATAACTAAATAATAATAAATAAAAACAATATACAATAAAGAATAAAATAAAATTACCTAAATATAAGTAAATTAAAAACATAAAAATGCAGTCATACCTATATATAATATATACAATCAGGCGGGGAACATATAGGATTAAGCATAATTTTGTATTCTCGAAGCCAGACTAGTGCTCATAATTACGGAACCCTGTCATTAATCTCAGGAGGATTTTGTTTCAGTATAAAATTATTTTTCATTTCATTTCATAGTTGTGAGGAACACTAGGGTTTTTTGATACTAGGCTATTATCATTTATAAAAATCTTGTTATTTTCATAGTAAAATAACTATTATTAAATTACTTAGGTAAATTTAAAAAAAAAACAATACCTGCAATTACACCACCAGGTGGTGGATGGCGACCCGCACTTTGTGCCATACCTCCAGCAGTAGCCTGGAACCTCCTTCGTATCCTCTTCCTAGCGGTTTGGAAAATTCTCCAGTACAAGACAAGGATGACCAACAGTGGAAGGTAAAACGAGGAAGCAGTAGCAAATAGCTGGAAATAAAACATCGTAAGTTAGACAATCTTTTCACAATAATAATATATCGTGACATACATACATATATTTACATCATATATTTATAGTACATCATATATTAACGAAATAAAAAAGTGAAATCTTCAGGGAACAGTGTAATCGGAGGAAAAAATGTTAACGACTAAAAGTAATATTAATATCAAACGTTTGTGAGGATCGGTCAAAAGCTAAGATATTCTCGGAAGATAGTAATGTCAGGTTCGCCACATTTTTGAGGTGGACGTTTTTGATTAAGTGATGTTGCTGGTATTGTCATGAGAAGGATTAGCAAGTAACATTGATAATAAGTGATTAATTATAATTGTAATGCAAATGAATGATTAAAAACTTCGTTCGAATGACTTTTCCTCATGGTTTACTTTTAGTTTCTCTAAAATGCTTCGGAATGGCACAATTACATAAGTTAGCTTTCTATTGATGAAATTTCAGCATTGTGTTTAATTGGTATGGAATAGTTTTAGAGTTCCTATTATTCCTCAGTATTACAATGAAGATGATTTGCTGCAATTTTTGCTACGTATATTTTATTATTTAATATTTAATCATGAATAAATATATAAGTGTATTTATGTATAAAAAGGTATATAGAAAAAAAATGGAAATCGAAACGACTAGAATTGAGGTGGGATGACTCTCTTCCTTAAAATATTCAATAAATGCCAAATCAAATCAAAATATTCAACAATTCATGACCACCCAGAATCACTTTTCGATATATTTTTTCTTTTTATAAATAAGTCAAGTCCCGCTGTATTCAACTCGAATTTTAAAAATAAATAAGGATGAAAAAATTGTGAGGATATGCAGTCAAACATTTCTTTAATCAGTTAGCCGACGTTTTGACCCAACCACCACAGGTCATGTCACAGTAACAAGCAGTTCTTGTCCGGTTTTCAGGACAGTGTTTGACCAATGACACACATGTTTGGATCGAAAAGTCGGTTAGCTCATTAAAGAAATTTTTGACTGCATATTCTGAAAACTTTTTTATCTTTATATGTTTAACAGTAAACTGTAAAAAAGTAATAAATGTTATTTAAAGAAGACATTGTTATAGAGAACTTCCATCCTGTGTAATTCTGAAATAAATATTAACCTGAACTAATTCAATTGCTATATGAAATGTGAAAGAGCTACTTTTAATTAATTAATTTGCAACTATAATTTGAAAATATCTTTCCAATTTGCTGATACAAGAGATTCATATGTAAGTAATTAAAATGCTGGTGGAATGACTTCCCATCATATCTGGTGGGTGTGCGCATCATAATACTTTCACTTATCATCACATAATATCTAACATAGTCCGTGGTACAGACTCTTTTTTATCGATTTATTAACAACTTCCTGAAACTTCGTAAATAGCTCCATCTCATCGTAACCTACAAATATTTTATTTATGAAAATTCTCGAAATTTCAATGTGGAGATCGACGAACTTTTTTCGTTTAATTAGGTAGTAAAAACTCGTAAATACTCATTTACTTTCCCATTGAATTGTTAGATAATTTGAGCACAAAGTCGAAAAAAATATTGACCCATTTGGCATGACCCACACTCCCAACTTGTCAAAATAACGAGGTTATATAGGCCAAATGGTTCAAGATTTCGTAGGCAACCTTTTTTGCTATTTACGAGTTTTTAGCACCTAATTAAATAGACAAAGTTTGTCGACCTATAGACTGAATACGCACCAATTCCGAGAATTTTCGTAAATAAAATATTTGTAGGTTACTATGAGATGAAGTTACTTGCGAAGTTTCACGCGGATATTAATAATTTGATAAAACGTGGTCTGCACCAAGGACTAACAAACTTTATTGGAAACATCATTTGAAACATTAAAAAATAAGTTTTTTTTACTAAATATTGTACTTTATTAGGCGAAAACTTTTTTTTTTTTTAAATTATGGGTAAATGAAGTATAAAAATTAAACAACAATATGAAGAATTTGTACAAAGCTATATTCGGTATCTGCGAATGGAGGGAATTGTTAACGTTCTAGTTTTTTTCACGTATTGTTTGCAACCTTTATTTATCACTTTAGTTAACGATATTTTTTTTCATTCATTATATTTATTGTTTTACTAGTTATAAATTGAAATGATTAAGTTTTCTAATAAACAACATTAAAGGTACTTTAAAAAAAAAAATAGGAAAATTTAGCATTCAAGCCATGTCAAAATATTACAATGAATATAATACCAGCCTGATTTTAAAGAACACTAGCTTTTACATCGATTTGACGAGTTTAATCAAAACTGTTAGTGCCTGTGGGAAAATTATAAAAAAACTGTTGATTAGATAATATAAATTACTTAAATAAAATATCAAATAATTTCAGGTTACTCGATTTTGACGAAAAAGTTGCTGTAAAATTCCAACAATTAACCTTAAATATGTTATTTCAGTTTTATAGGGTTTTTCATTTTTGAGCTAAGCCGTTCAGAAACACAAAGACACACACAGATCATTTCACTACAATAACGGATTCAGGATTTAATTTTGGGGAGGGAGCTTCAGCCCGAAGGCTCTTTTTTCATAAAAATAACGATAATTACTTAGGAAAAAAAGAAAGAAACTAACTACCTATATGAAATGGTGTTTAAGTGATTCCTAATGTCCTTTTAAATATAATTACACGAACAATAATACTTTAAGATATTATTTTGTAATATTTTTTTCCATAAAACATGGCTATATTTTACCATTTGGGGGAGGGAGGAGGAGGCCCAAAACCTCCTCCCCCCGTAGATCCGCCCGTGTTTCACTGTACTTGGTTACTTGGACTCCAGTAAACTCCAGATTCGAAAATTTTCAGTATTACCGAACTTTACATCATGTTTCATTTATAGCTAAGTGAAGGTAATTAGAATGTTAGCTCAAAGACTTAAGTAAAAAGCCTTTTAAATTTCACTGATACCTGGTATCCAATGTCCTGAGAGACGAGGCATGTCTTGTTTTCGGAGACCCTTGCCTCCCAGCTGGGGTCCTTCCAGCCTAAGATAGGGGCGATGGAGACGAGGAAAGACACGGCCCAGATGATGAAGATCATTATGCCTATTCTCGTCTTGGTCCTCTGGTGGATGTAGTCAATGTTGGTCACTGCCCAGTATCTGTAACACATTTCATGAATATTTAGAGCTGTGTCCTAATTTAGCATATTGATTGAAAGACAAAAATAATATTGCAGGATCTAATGAGTAAAATTCTTTAGACAAAAAATTAATTAAAGCTTTTGATTTTTTCACTAGATAGATGTTTATGGTAAAAATATTGTGTTGTTGAGTCAACAATGTTGTTGGCAACAATATTGACTCAGATACTACGAAAATCATTTCAAAGATTCACTTCTTCAAAGATGTTGGGTTAAAACCTTATTTAGATTTATTTTAAAGGTGTCCCCTGTGAGCCAGAAATCTTCTCCGATTATAAATATGAATAATGATCATTAACACAGCACGGTACGATAACAAACAATTTTTTATTTCTTTCCTCACCTACCTTGCCTTTTCCGCTATACGTTTTTTTTTTCCAACTCAGGGGAAAGGGTGTGGATAAATCCTAAAATGACAAACAATCTGACAATCCGGGGTGTGGTTTACCCCGAATTATAAAGTATTACAAAATTTAATCGTTATTCTGTGGAACAATCAAATGCTTTTCAGATATCAGCTAAATAATTAAGAAAATAAAACAATTAATAAATTCAAGATAACGTTGAATAGATAATATTTTATGTGCTCGCTTAAAGTGAAAAATTAACATATTCATCGCTAAAAAATCAATATTTTCCATTTAAAATATATTAACTTTTTATCAATTATGTAAAATATATTCATAATAAAGGAAACACTTTTTTTTTCTTTAAAAGATAATAAAATCTAAAGTGGAGACCATTTAAATGACCACTCACAACAATCCAAGTGTATTGTCGCGTGCTGTTCGAAGTCGCGAGGAGGTATGTGTCAGGTATCGCACTGGTACGCAGAAGCAAATAATGAATATATGAGTACCTACAATTCAAACGAAGAATCCAATTATTTATTTAGATGCAAACAATGTTTACGGACAATTGGTGCGTATGGTAACCGTATAAATATATAAAATTTGGAGGATTTGAGTGGGTTAAAAATCCGGAATCTGTACATGTTTTTAATCTTGAGGACGAAGATGAAGTTGGATTTATTTTCGAAATTAACTTATTAAACTTTTAATTTTCCATTGTAATGTTTACAAAATAGTGTTACGGGAGTTTCATTGCTGACTTTCGATATGTCAGTAGTTTCCAAACTAATTGCAAGTGGATATTGTTGTGATTTCAAAGAGAAAAAAATCATCAAATTATTTATTATTTAATTATCTAAAATATTACATGATGAACTTGACGAAATAAACCGACAATATATATCTAATTGTTTTAAAAATATAATATCGAATCTAGAGTTATTAAACTAGTGTAAATGTATTTAAAGTTAGAAATACATGTTCCAAGAAAATTCAAATAATCTTTTTAATTAAAATTGTTTGTGTTTATAGGTTTCATGAACATGAAAATAATTTTTAAAATTAAATTTCGTTAAGAAATTTCATTCAATTTCCTTGGAAACATGCGGTTTCGATTTTCGTAACTATCCATTACTTGTGTTGCCCAAAATCCATCTTTGCGTGACCAAGATCAAGACCGCCTAAATAATAAGTTAAAAAAAATCGTTTTCGTGAATAAAAATCAAGGCAAAATAGTTACTAATATTTGAAAAAATTAGTTACTTTACAATCGGTATAGCCAATATACTTTTGCATTCAACTTTTCCAATTTTTCATTCGGGCTTAGTTAGGTTTCCTCTATTCTTGCGAGACTCTTGCGTCAGACCAACATCAAGACTGCTCATAGTCTCGCATTTGGGCAACACTCTCCATTACCTTCTACAACTTTCAATATTAGATGTCACATTTTTTCTAAAATTCTCCGCTTTCCAACGATATATTATACCTATACCTTCAGAATATTATTTTCGGAGATTCATGTTCAACCTAAATACATTTTTTTTCTCCATTATTCAATTATCACATTGTTAAAAAAGTTATGTTAATCATTTTTTCGTAACCTTTAGCAATGAGAAACGGTTAATTTTTTTAAATAAACCAAATTAAATGTTCTTTAGAGAAAGACAATTTTGAACATTAGAGATTTAAGCCCTTTTAATCAATTGGGATAAAACCTAAATGATATTAAATACCTCTTAGTTATACATTGATACACCGAGTTTAATTAAAAATTTGTAACATCGTTGATATAAAGTGCGATTTCCAGTAAGCGGATTTTGACGAAAAAGTTACTGTAAGATCACAGGCCTATATTTAACATAAATAAGTATAGTGAAAGTAATATGATGGATTAAGAGAAAAATTGTACCCGATTATAAAGGAGAATGATTTAAAAAAGGGTGTAAAACGGTTTGGGTAAAAACAATATATTAGTTTTCAAGTACTATAGAAAAATGAAGTTATGCATACATCTTAGATATTATTGCAACCGAAGCAATCTACAATTTTTAGTTATGAGATTGACAAAGTTCCACTTTCTTCATTTGATGGTAAAAACCACGTACTACAAGTCGGGGTCAATACGTTAGCCTATTATAAATTATTATAAATTGACAAGAAGAAATGTTTAAAAGAATAAAAAATAAAAATAAACTAAAAGCAAATTTACAAACACAAAAATAGTATGTGGCGTTTTTGTAAAAAAAAAAATTATCCTTGAACAGGAGTCTCCAAACTTTTCGGCTTGTGAGAAACATTGAGAGCTCCACTAGCAAGCCCTGACTTGTAGTAAATACAAAAAATCATGTTCATGTAATCATATAAATGGCACTTCGGTTGTGAAATGAGCTTTTAAAGAAAAAATAAAAAACTTACAATAAACGTTGTATTAACCTCATGTAATTTGCTTCTTATCTTAAAAATAGTTTTTAAAGTTCGTCATGTACACAAAGAAACGTCCGCGAGACGGATCGGAAGTGCATGCAGGCCGTAGTTTGGAGACCCTTGTCTTATATAGTACGTATAGTTGGAAGTGTGAACAAAGTTCCCTTTCTTAAACATCCATAAACTAGTATGTTAAAATATAGTTAGATTTGTGAATGCAGACTTTGATGAAGCTGCAAACGCTCATAAACCAAAGTGTGTGCTATGGTCATTGGCGAGGCTATAAACGCCAATGAACCAAAATATGTTTGTGAATGGTCATTGGCAAGGCTATTAACGCCCGGAAACCAATGTATGCTTGTGAAAGACCACTGGCGAGTCTATAAACCCCCCGTAAGCGACTAGACCCTTTCGATGCATCTTCACCTTGACTTGGTGACACGGCATAAAGCAGTAAGCTGAACTAAGAGAGATGTCCTTAATTCCTGAAATGCAAACAGATAATTCCTATTTTTCTGTATTATATTTCTTGTACAAATAACGCCATTTTTTAAATAGGAAAATACTCCTTCCCAAAATGTCGTGATTCCATTGATAGTTGCAGTTTAGCGATATCTATAATTGTTCCCAATATATTTTCATTGTGTCCAGTATATATCCAGTATCCCTTTGCATTTAATATTTATAAAAATATATTTTTTTATATTATTATTCGTTGTTCTATTATTTTTGTATTGTTGAGTTAGTACTGTAAAAGCCAACAACTTCGGCGACGAAAGGAAACTTCAGCTCAGTAAAAATGTATATTAGCTTAATGCGAATTTTATCTTCGACCGCAGCTGGACCCATCTTCTTCTCAATCAATTAGTCATATTATATTACATATAGTAGAACTACAGGAGCTACGATAAGGCTTCTGCAACAAGAAGGGATTAACTACACAATGTGAAACACTTCCTCAACGATCCTCGGCTGAAGCACTAGGAAGGCTGATTCGACAGCCAACTAAGTCCCGAACAAGGAACTGAGAACAATGGAAGCACAAGACAAGGGCCCGGAGTAAAAACATTGACAAAGGGGCCAGATTAATCGGACAACTCCGGGCCAACTTTACCACCAGCATCGATATACCCCTCTCCTGTCGTCCGGTAAAGGCTCGATTCTCGCCATCAAAAACGGTACGAGTTTTTGTGTCGACTATTGGTCATTTTCTAATAGCTATAAATTGGAGGTTTGTTCAACCGGAATGGGAAAGTTGAATCGATATATAGTTTACTTTACTTGACACTGTTATTAGATTACTCTTAAGATTTATCGCATAGAAAAAAACGACAGAAAGTAACGAAACTAGAGAACCTTTCTATCTATCTACACTATACAGGGTGTTGCAGGATTAAAAGGCCAAGATGCAAAAATTAACTAAGGACCTCAAAACAAGAAATAAATGTCCTCTGAAGGTATGTCCGCAACCTCTTTGTTTAGGAGATATTTACACCTAAAGATTTTCGTAGTTATGAATTATTGACATTATATGAAAAAAATGAAACCTATTCTTTTGTTCTAACTACTTTATTAATAAAATGTAAACATTAACATTCATATTAAATGTTTGTTCAAAATGATTTCCTTGAACATGGTGCTTGCCATCTTTCTTGATACTAGAAAATGGATACTAGAATGAAGCCGTGTCATTAAAATGATTCCTTTATGTATATACAATTTTAAAATAATTTGTGTCTAATGTCTACCATAGTAAATGTAATTGAATCAATAATATTGAAGTAATATTATTGAACGTGTTGCATGCCCATATAATCGCTACAATATAACCATCAGACCGGCAAGATATTTGATATTACCTCAATAATATTGAATGTGTAAGAGGCCCTTAAAGAGACGATACGAACTATCGATAGTTACTAGGACTATCGACTATCGCCCATCTCCAGTGAAAGGCACCCGACTATTATACCAAGTTTAAATATTCATATATGTCAATTCCTCTGTCAATCTACCAAAATGTTTACGTAGATAAGGAATTCCATTATCTTAAGTTGAATAGAATTTCCCAATTTCTGTAGTCTGTAGTTTTTTTACTTTCCTACCTATACTAGGTAAGGGAAGTATTGCGATCGGGTAAAATTTCCGATATGTGGTTTTCGACAGATAACATAAAAACACAATTTTAGGCATTAGTCTGTCCGTCTGTCTATCTATCTGTCTGTCTGTTCCAAGATTTTGTCGGAAACTAGTTAACCAATTTTGATACTTCTTTTTTTAGTTTGAAAGATTTTGACTAATGATGCTTGTGGCACAAATTGGGTGCTCCATGCGCAATAGCTGTTGCTCGATAAATGAAAAACATATTTTATTATTGGCTGTAGCGCGACAACGGCTCTAAAGATTTTGATGAAACTTTCCTATAATGTTCTAAGAATTATCCTTTCAGTTTTTGTACATGTACTAAATTTCTGAGAAAATTCTGGATAAAAAGTTATAAAGAAAAGAAAAATGTTTAGGGGCCTAACTCGCTAAGTATATATTCTATAGTAAAATTTATAATATATTTTTTGAAAAGTAATTAAATTACCAACAAAACAAACACAAAAATCATCGGAATCGAACCAGTATTAGCGATGATACAGCTGATTCTATTTTCTGCACATATTTTAATTTATTACATTCCTACCTATACTAGGTAAGGAAAATATTGCGATCGGGTCAAATTTCCGATATGCGGTTTTCGACGGATCTATATATTTCAGAGCCTTTCAAGTCCGAAAAATACATTTTTCGCAACTATATAAAAATCGATCATTTTGGAAAACTATTAACGAAGTTACAGCTATTCAATTTCCAACGTAAGATTACGGATTCATATCCTGAAGTCAGAAAGGGGCGAATGAGAGAAAAAAGATGACTAAGTGAAAATAAAAAAATCTGTTGCTTGCATCATACAAGCTATACTATTTCCGCTACTTTTAAGAGAAATTATTGTTTGACAAAATTAGGCTATGACAAAAAGTTTTATTAGAGGGTATGGAAATTTTTACACTGATCTACCTTAAGCCGTTTTACATTGCTTTAGTGTATCAAATAAATCGTACTGAAATCTTTTCTTTGATCAATTTTTAGGAAAATAAATCTAATTCAATTTTTTTCTTGTTTCTTGATGGGCATATATAAAGATATAAAAACTTTTGAAATAGAAAGGAAAATCGTATGAGTGGACACATTTTTTTGGTTTATTTATTATTAGTTATTTATTTTTGGCTTATTATTTGCAATCATCAACCATTGTGATCGGCCGAAAAATTCAAAAACTTAACCCCCTCTCAAAATTTGAGGTTTCACGTTTCAGGATACGTAGAATTCGAAAAACGAATGAAAATTTTTTTGTTCGCGCATTTTCTCCGAAACTACTGGACCGATTTTTTTTTAATTTGGACATAAAATCATAGGGAGCCCGAGGATAATCCTCCTTCATGGACATTATTATCCGCCTTTAACTTTCAAAATGGTGGCCGAAAAACCTGCGTGGCTATAGACTGTAGCTCCTAAACGAATTTACCGATTTCAATGAAACTTCGCTAAAGTCATTTTATCTGCTCCCTTAAAATTAATCTATATAACATACTTCAACTTAAAGAAGCTAGAAAAAAAGTTACGAGGGATGGTAAAATTAAATTCCGAGTAACTCAAAAAGTTTACAATTTTTTGTGGATTGTGTATGGTTTTTTAAAAGTTTACGAAATTTTCTAAAAACCAAAAAAAAAAATCGTCAAAATCGGACAATTAGATGCAATGATATGGTCTCCTGTTTTTTAAAATATGTTTTACTCCAAATGTTATATCCTTTGTTTGTTTTTTAAATTTTAAATATGTTACTGAATTAATGCTATTTTTTTAGCATATTACTAATGATGAAAAAATCTTTTATTAATTTTATTATTTGTAACTAGGAAGGTAATGTTACTTTAGATGTATAATTGTTTGGAAATATTAAACCATTGTAGAATAATTTGCAGCGTATTTTTAATATTTTACTTCTTTAAATTTTAAAATACAAAAATAAAATTTGTATGTGAATTAAGAAATGTCCCTTCTTTGCTCTCAAATTTTTGGGGATGGAAGAACTTAATCATCAAATTTAAATACGCTTAGAAGTCGTTCTCTCTAAAAATATACTAATGTGTTATAGTAGATAAGCAATTACATCCCCCTTAGGACAGGATTATATCCGTAGTTATTTTAATTTTTTTTATTGTAACATGCCCTGACTTATCCTCGAAATATTATTATCCGGAACTTTCTTTTTACAACGAGAATAGAATACAGAGGTGGAGGGTCCGCGCTCAATATCCAAGACATCCAGAAGGGTGACTTGTTTGACTTTGTTGGTGTTAAACCCTTCGGCCCACTTGACCTTCTTCGAAGCTATGTAGATCCTGGACCCTCGGGGGTCCTAATCTGCCCTACACAGTTCCGCTGTGTCTCGAGAGATCGGGGAGGGCTCGACTCCATCTGGATTTAATTGGAACGTCCAGGCATTCTCTTAGAGCATCCATCTCAGCGGGGCATCCTCTGTGCAATCTATGAACAAAGGGTTCACTTCACTTGGGCCTTCGATAGTTAACTGAATTGCTTTTAACATCTCATTTATTATTGAGAATTCAATTCTCACTGTTATGTATTATTTAATTAATCAATAGCTTCTTGTTGTATTCATTTATTTATAACTATTTTATCAATGTACAATTAAATTTTATCTAAGTCTATTGTCATTGATACGGTCTGACAACTAGGAAATTAGATTGAAACAGAAATAGAAATTATGGGTATCAATTTTTTCAACAAGTGATCCAATAATTCCTCATAAAATATACCATCAGAGATATTCGTTAAAAAAAATAATAATTTGATAATAGCAAAAATACAAAACTTACTCACTGTCAATGCGGAAAACTCGAGTCATGGTACACGAGTGAAATATATTTAGACAATTAGAATTTTAATTTAATCGAGAAAACGAATTGATTTAAAAGAAAATTAAGCTTCAAGTTGGAAGAACTTTAACACAGAAGCCACTATTGAGAGATGAATAATTATAAATTGATGAACTGACCCATTCATTCTATGTATATACCATATAGTACATATAATGTTTTTATGAGATCCAACTATTATAATGCTACCATACAATCTACATTATTTACAATTCCGTTTTATATTATTTTTGAATATTTATATTTTACATGCTCACTACCGAAGGTAAGGAAGTTTATATTCGAGCGAGGGATTGAAAGAACTTTTGTGCTCAGAATCGAAATTTGTCACTCGCGTTTTACGTTTCAGACATCAAGGATCAAATTTGTTTTTTTTTATGACCTTCGTAATTCCACAATAGTTGATAGATACCACGTGATAAACCAAATACCCGATAGATAGAAGAAACAAATATGCAACAAAGTGGAGAGCAATAGGCTAAAAGATGCAGAGGTAAAAATGACTGATTTTGGTGACTTAAGATCTACAAAGTCTGTATGTTATGGCCGACTAAGAAAAAAAAAACTAGATAAATATAATCAATATTTTTTTTTTAAATTAAGAAATTCATTTAAATTCTAAATTGAGATTCGTGCATACAAAATATACTATTGTGTGATTTCGACCCAAAATTAATAAAACAATAAACTGAAATTTCAAAGTGATTTTTTGTACATAAATAATCCTCTCTTTTGTACATAAATAATCCTTTAAGAATTAATAAGTGAAAGTAAAGAAGGCAAAAACATGTTTTGAGTGACGCCTAGATAAAAGTGTTCGATAAACCCGCACAACATAACATCAATGACAAAGTGTATTCAGAAACTTGAACGGCGCTTAGAGATACCTAAACAAAAATATAGAGTAATTAAACAGTCAAAATAAAAAAAAATATAGTAGAAGAAATTATAAGTTACTTACTAATTTAGATCAGTTAATAATAAAAAATAAAAAATTGAAAATAAACATGAAATAAAAATAATGAAGAACGATCTAATAATTTATATACATATTTACAGTAGTAACTATTTACAGTTTTATTGGGACTGGTTTGATAAGAAATGATTGAACAGGCAGAAAGGGTTTTGGATTGACGGATGTGGGGAGGGGGATGGAGTTCTATA